TTTTTTAAAAAATGGAGTAAATGAAGATGCTTAATAAATAGTGGAAAATCAAATTTCTAATTCTTGAAATATTACCTAGTAATCACATGTAATTTGGATCATTAGCTTTCATTTCAGAATTCCTTTCTCAATATTCAGTTGTTTATACATTTTACAGTTGCAGTATTCCCTAAAAATTATATGTTTTGGTTTTTCAGGTGGAATTACCTTCCTTTCATAGTTCCAGAAACAATATTTCATGTACCACTACATTAACTCTGGCCATTTTATTTTTAGAATCCATTATGATTTATATTTTCACTTTCAAATTTTGTAATATACTGTTTATTATGTAGTTATATTCAGAGTCCCCAAATAATTTTTCAAAACTTGAGTTAATTAATTATTCTTATCTTTTATATTGCTATGATAAATTGCTATCAGAAAAGAGAGATATAACTTTATGAATTCTCAAATTGTTATCTTTTAAATTTTTAATTTTAGTAACAAGTCTATTTAATTCATATATAACCATCTACTGTTACATACTAAATAAATGTATTAAATTATTCATTAATAAATTTCATTATAAATTTTAAGTATTCCATATTCTTCTGTCATGAGCATATCTCATTTATCGTGTTTATTAATAAGTGTACCTTAAAATTTTGATTTACTTTTTATACATATGTGGAAAATTCTCTTCAATTGTCACATTTAAGAGAAAAGAACAATACTTTCTCAAAGTACAAATAGTAATTTTTAAAGACATTAAAATTTATTTTAAAGCATGCAACAAACTTCTTACAAAATTAATTCATAATTTCAACCAAATCAATGTACCTATATATAAACTATACCGTGAATATCTTATGGATATTCTAAAAGGGTTAGTATAAAACAAAGGAGTACAAAATGAGGATTAAAAAAAAAATCAAGCAGTTTTGTTGAATTAGAAAGTATTTTTCAAGGAAGTAACTTTAAATTATAGCAAACAACCATTAAGGACTCTTCTTCTGTAAGAAACAAAAATACAGTTAATGATGCTGGTCTTTTCTCCATTTAAAATCACATGTATACTCAGATTCATGATGTATAAAACAAGTATACAAGCATGTATTTTTTTCAATGTTCTAGAATTATGTAGACAATACCAGAATTTTTAGTTTTTCCATTAAAATATATCGTTTGAAAGTTTCATGTTTATCGATGGGCTTATCAATGGGCCCATCTATATGGTGCAGCAGTGTAAATGAATAAAACTTCAGTGAGAAGTAACGCAACTCATCTTTATATGCTTCAATTATCTTTTCATGGTATTAATGTATAAATAGTTCATGATTAAGTTATTATTCTATAATGCCTGTTAGACATGCTCTATTCAATTACTGAAGTGTGGTCTTACATTTTTCTTATGACAGGATGACGAGGTAAGGGAAAGTCGATTCAGCTTCACAGCCTATGGAATGGGGCCATGTCTGCAAGCAAAAGATGGTCTGACCCAAAAGGGACCAAACCATCCTGTCCACGTAATGCTGAAAAGCCCAGATGAAATGAGGAAAGTCTTTATTGACCGGGCCAAGAAGATTGACACTATCTCCCGAGCTTGCTTCCCATTAGCGTTTTTGATTTTCAATATTTTCTACTGGGTTATCTATAAAATTCTTAGGCACGAGGATATTCACCAACAACAAGATTAAGTCTCTGGAATTGTGCAAGCAAGGTCAAATTATCAATTCAGAAGAAAATGTCTTTGCCATAGTTGTGTGTGTATGTGTGCCTGTGTGTATGTGTGTGTGTGTGTGTGTGTGTGTGATGTACAAATGATCATTGTATTGAAACAGTATAAGGAAAAGAGTTGTATTTTGATTTGCTATGCAAAGTGATGAAACAGATTAAGATTCTTTTAATGGATATAAAACATATATTATGAGGATTCTGTTTCATAACAACATAAAATAATCTGTTTTCTCACAGTAAATCATAAGTGGGAGATTTACTGCCATTGTGTTTGTTATATAATATCACATAATAATAGATGTGAAAATGACTTTGGAATTCCTTGATTTTTATTTAATGATATTAAATCTTATAAAAGGAAAACATGTTGAAGATAAAAAAATCAATAGCTTGAAACAAAAGTATTTCTTATATTGTAGTTATAAAATAGGAAATTAGTCATTCAATTCAGTGAAAAATTTACTAAATATTAATGGACCAATCACCATAGGACCAACTTACATAATAAAATATTTCAATTAAATTGAAAAAAAAAAACTTTGTTTACTATACTAAGGAAATTTAAAACAAGTTAAAATATCATGTTATATACAAATTCTACTTTCCTTAAATTTTATATCTCAATAAATAATGGTAGAAGTATTAAAAATGACATAATTGTTTTAAAATAGTTATAACTGTATATTTTTAATTATTAACAAACACTTCAACAATTCAAGCTAGCATCGTTAGTTTTGTTAGCTTGTTAATAGCTGCTTAATTATTTGTATGAGATGGTTTAATCTTTTAATATAATTGAAAGAAAGTTAACTAAAATATGTTTTAGTTAAGAATGAGTCTTTAAAACTCAAAAGAATATACATTTTGATAAAAATGAATGCAATGATAACAAAACAATAGATTCATGAAAGACCTTTTAACAAGAACAGTTTTCCCATCCAAGTTATATGGGTTCACTCTTAGCTCTAAGCATAAGGAGAAAGCACTTAATTTCTAAATTCTATAAATAAGTCATTTTGGTAAAGTAAAAATTATTTTACATATCTCAATTAATTGTTTCAATATATAAGTCATTCACTAGATGTGAATAATGTTAAATGGATTTTTTACTTCGAGTTTATCAATGACCAATGAGATTATTTCAACTACAATGGGAGCATCAACTGGTTTTATGATTGGGGGCTTGGTTAAATTGCTAGATTCTTTTTCAGTTTTACTATTTTCTACATTATTTTTACTATGAATTATGTACTTAATAAAATGCTAAAACATTTTTTAAATGACTTAATTATTGGTTACATTCATAGAATATAAATTCAGTTGTCTAAATTATTCACAAAGAAAAGTTTAAACACTAGAAAACAATTAATTTAATTTTTAACAACTAAATTAATATAGTTAACAATTTAATTATAACAATTAATTTAATTTTAACAATTAATTTAAATTTAAGAAAAATAACTCAGTTCTTGAACCAGACAGTATTATTTCCTGACCTTTGACCACTCTCAAATTAAAAACCAGACGTTCCATTTAAAACAAAAATCTCAATATTATTGAGCTGTAGTCTATTTAATCTTAGTTTTCAAAAATGACTTATATATATATACACACACACACACAACAGTTTTGCTGCTAAAAGTCATAATTCCCATCATTTGTAAGTACAGTGAAACCTGGAAGAGCAGGAATTCAAAGGGATTGCCTTGTTTTCTCAGATCTCACAATTTTTCCACCTTTAACAGGGTGCTGTCTTACTACTGTGTATCATTCTCTTTTAGTGAAAAAAATATTTTAGTTTTCCTTCTTTGACAGGTTTCCACCATACAACAGGTCTTGGTTTTTGCAGGATTTATTGTAATTTAAAGCTGAATACTGTAAGTAAAAATATCATCATGCTTGGTATTATATTTAAATGACATAACTAAAAGAGATTATTTGTATAGACTTATTTTGGAAATTATGCCTCAATTAGTATTTACCAAAAGCTAAGGACTTTTGCAGACAAATATGTGTTTCTTCATTCGGTGTCCATGAACCAAATCGCTGAGACATATTCTTGTACTGAAGATTATAGCAAGTCATGTTTTTTGTTCTCACTGAGGATTAGTGGAGGATTTGAACTAATGATAAATATATTGAGTCAATATGTCTCTGAGATATTTCAATACATTTTTCTGGATTTCATACATTTTATTAAAAAGTGTTCCATCATTCTGTAAGTGAATTCTGCCGGAAGCAAACAGAAATAATGAACATAAATGTGCATACATATTGCCTCCCCAAAACTATTCAAAGACATCATTTATTTTCATATTTGAGAATATTGAAAGAATTTCTATTTTGAAACTTGCAGTTTGGGATGTAAAGATATTAGCCATGAGAAAACTTATAAGCAGGAGTGGGTGTTGGTATGGTAGAGATATCTCTAATGCAAACATATGGTATACCCTGCTTAGGCATAAGTTTGCACTCATGTATACTTATCATTGTCTTACTGCAGTAAAAAACTCTGACAGCCTTCACTCAAATAACATCAGCAAGTGTGGCTGATCCCAAAATGCTTGTATAAATCTGTCTTAGTGAACTCTTATAAACTGAACAATTACCTTGTAATTAGCGTCCATGGCAATTATTTGCCTCAATAATTCCTGTGTCAAACCAGAAATTTAAAAATTAAACCAGCTAGAAAACTATTTTGGTGAGAAAATCAAAAGGCATACATTTACCATATGCATAAACGGGAATTCTAATGTGGATATTCTGAAGAATTTTAAAATAGCTTCATTAGAAAACTATGTGATTTTTGTACAGTTTATATCTCAGCCACTGAAATATATGGTACAATAGTATAAAGATTTTTAGGAAATCTTCTGCCTTATTATATATGGGCCCATCTTTCCCTACCATTTAAAATGGATTTCAATTATAATGACATCATAGAACTTTCTTTACTACTTAAAATAGAATTACTCTGAAAACAAGAAAACCAAGGACCTTAAAACTTCCCCAGTCTTTCCAGATGTTTCCCTATAACACTTCCTCACTTGGAAGAGCTCAGTCAACTCCCAGAAGCTGTATTAGGTGACCCTTATGGCTGCTTGTCTTATTCTATAATCAATTCCTAGTCTACCTATATGTTCTCATAACTTTTGTCTTAAGCTTGAATTATCAACACTTGAAAATCTAAATATCATTAAGACAAGTACATACATTGGTGTTTGAATTCCCAGGATCTTATTTAAGATAATGGAAGTTTTAGAAACAAATACCTAGAAAAAAAAAAAAAAGCCAATGTGTTTAACAGACACTAGAAAGCTGGTTAGCTACTTTAACTAGAGTCAAACTTAAGTACTTAACAATTACTTTTAGAGGAAAATAAGCATATCATCCTTCCTACACATCTCTTTTCCTGAATGCATTTCGTCCTATTTATTATTATTATTATTATTATTATTATTTTCTATTATTAACATGGTATATCTCAAGTAATTAAAGCCCTCTGCTGTTAACCGAAAAGTCGGAAGTTAGAAACTACCAACAGCTCCGCCAGAGAAAGATGAGGCCGTCTGCTTCTTTAAAGGTCACAACCTTGGAAACCCAAGGGGGCTGTTCTAATCTGTCCTACAAGATGGCTATGAGCTGGAACTGGCTCGACAACAATTTTTTTTTTTTTTTTTTTTAAATACTTCATTGTGTGAGTCACTTGGAAGATGATTGAATGTTGTTTTGGCCTATCACCTATAAAAAACATATTTCATGAAACGGGGTTGAGAGGTATGAGACAATGTTAAAAACAGAAAATACTTCAAATATTGAAAGTACTGCAATTCATAGCTGTCTCCTGACAGCAGCTTAGAGCTCCCTAAGAATACAACTCTAAGAATGAAATTCTTCCATTCCTTAGACCAATCATCAACAACTTTTGCTGTCATAATGTCTCCTACTCCAAATAGATTTCACGTGGATAATGATATAACTCTGGAAATTTATCAGAATATGCACCTGTATTTTCCATCTTGATTCTGAACTGGTAAAGAAAAACAAGCCATTCCGTATACACAGCACGTACTCATATGCAGTCAAACGAGCATTCATTTATGCTGACAAAGACAATAAAATAATGGGCTTGATAAACATAAAAGAATAAATACGGTTCTACACATAGGGAATTTTAATTCAAACAGTGAATCTAAGGAAAATATAACCAATGGAAGTA